CCGTTACATTGAAGGCGTGTGCCATGGAGATGGAGGAACTCAAGCAAAAGAGATGGACCAACGGCTAGGAGGCTGGGCGAGCAATTAAAGATGTCACACTAATATTTTCTATTTGTATCACCTTTTGTAATAATCCCAATTTTATATGACGCAGATGAAACAATCATCAGGGCTTGTTTTGTTAAATACATACAGGCGAGCACTTTTCGAAAGTATCTTGTGTGAATGATATCATCCGATTTTTTGTGATCTACACGAATACATAAAATTGCGTCACCAAACAGTTGATCGTTACTGGTGCTATTGCCAAATACCCCGGAGCATTAATTTTAGCTGAAGGGATTTCGCTATATTCGATCAACTAGTTCAAAAACGCTTAGCATGTTTCAAATAGACATTCTGCTCTACAGTCTACCTCATATAGGAGTCAATATTTGCGCCGAAATAGTGACAAAAATGCATACCGATAGTCTATCTGACGCAAAAAATCAGCGCTAAGCGGAGAGATTCGCTCTCTAACCAGCAAACTTGATTTCACATTGCTTCTTTTAAAAAGGGACATTGATGTGACGCATTATTTGACTCTAGCACTTCTTTGCAAAGAAGACGGTCTATAGTGATGTCTAGCAGAAGATCTTCGTGGACAGCAGGAAGTGGCCTTTCTTCATCGCCTTACAGACACTTTCGGGCGTTCAGTATCTTTTCCCTATTACGCCACATACGGTGGCGTCAACGTCCCACCCCACCGAGCCGCAAGACCAGCAACACCGGCGCCAAACTCGGATCTCTACAATATTGTCTATCATTTGAGTCTTTACTGGTAGAATGCTGTTTTGTAACACACTACAGCAAATTCCACTTCAAAACTATCAATCTCCGATCTGGTTTAATCTGTTGAGTCAGGGCTCGAGTCCCACAATTGTCAACGTTAGGAAGCAGTTACTTGATGTTTGGGTTTCACCAAGGCTCCCCACCAGGAGTCACGTCCCCCGACCGATCTTTAATCTTTGATCATAATAATTTAAGATGATATATGCATAAATTCTTCTGTTCATGTAGTTGGTGTATATTATTAGCAAGGTACAATCGAGAAGTCATCATGTCTATAAACTACAAAATCGACAAACTTTAAACTGGAAAAACTGGAGTCGTTTTTAAGGATATAGCAATTTCATATTCATAAAATGACGAGGGGTACTCGTAACGGTATCGTGATATCATCCTCTTTGTTCGAATAGCTGATGGTACTCCGTCTGATAGTTCGACATTGTCAACGACCTTTGAGCATTGAAAACCAGCTCAAATTGTCATAACCGCTGCTAGTGTTAACGTCATACTTTTATCCACCGTCCAGAAGCGCCGATCACTCGACGAAATGGCGAACAAGAGTGAAAGTGTTCGCGTTTGTGTTCGAATTCGCCCACTTAGCACCAAAGAAGTTCAAGATGGTCGTACGTACATTGTTAACGCTAATCCAACACAAGGTGAGATTTCTCTAGCAAATCCGGAAGCAGACGCCAGGGAACCCCCGAAGAAGTTTACGTTTGACGCAGCCATTCCACCCGAATGCTCGCAGCGAGATGTGTATGTTCAAGCAGCCACCAATATCGTCGATTCCGTTGTAAATGGCTTTAACGGCACGATCTTTGCATACGGTCAAACGGGAGCTGGAAAGTCCCATACGATGGAAGGATTTTCGGATCCTCCTGAGGCTAAAGGAATTATTCCAAACTCGTTTTCACACATATTTGATCGCATTGCTACAGAATCCAACAACAAGCAATTTATGGTTTATGCGTCGTATCTCGAGATCTACAACGAAGAAATTCGTGATCTGCTGGCTCCAGATCCAAAAAATCGTTTAGAACTGAAAGAAAACGTTGACTCAGGCGTCTTTGTAAAAGATCTGACATCTCGTCAGGTTGCAGACGTTGCGGAGATTGATGCTGTGATGCAACAAGGCAAAAAAAATCGCAGCGTTGGTGCTACACTCATGAACCAGACGTCCTCACGTTCGCATTCGATGTTCACCATTACAGTTGAGGCGTGTTCCACTGTACAGCTTGACACGAATGGCAAACCACACGTCTGTGTTGGCAAACTGAATCTCGTAGATCTTGCAGGTAGCGAACGACAAGCCAAAACTGGGGCGACGGGGGATCGTATGAAAGAAGCAACTAAGATAAACTTGAGTCTTTCAGCTTTGGGCAACGTCATTTCTGCCCTTGTCGACGGAAAGTCGCAGCATATTCCGTACCGCGACTCCAAGCTTACGCGATTATTACAAGACTCGCTTGGTGGGAATGCCAAAACCGTTATGATTGCCAACTGTGGACCAGCAGACTACAACTACAACGAAACGTTGTCGACGCTGCGCTATGCGAACCGGGCAAAGAATATCAAGAATAAACCCAAGATTAATGAAGACCCGAAAGATGCTAAGATTCGCGAATATCAAGAGAAAATTAAAGAACTGCGCGAAGCGCTGGCTGCACAAGAAAAGAATGGGCCGATTGAAATTGGTGCGGAGTGGTCAAAAGATGGACCCTCTTCTGCACCACAAATTGTAGAACGGATTGTTGAAAAGACCATAGTGAAGCGTGAAGGTGTGAGTGAAGAGGTGTTACGAAAGCTGGAAGAGGATGCACTGCGTGAAAAACGGGAGCTGAAGCATAAAGCTCAGGAGGAAATGAAAATCTTACTTGCAGCACAGTCCCGAACAGAAGAGGAGCGTGAGCAGCTAGAGCGCGAATTAGAGGCTCAAGCACAGCAGAAAAAAGCCATGGCTAAGCAAAAGGATGATATGGTTAATCAACTCGAAGCGCTGGAGCACAAGCTTATTTCTGGTGGACGCGTACTGGATAAAGCGGCGAAGCAGGAGCGTAAGCTTCGTGAGGCTCAGTCTCGTATCGAATTGCAGAAACAGCAGGAGTTGCAGCTTGCCCGGGAATTGGCGGAAAAAGAAGATTCAAATATGCTGCTGGAAGAGCAATACACAAATCTTCAAGAAGTTGTTGACGACAAGACGCGCAAACTGAAGAAGTTATGGGCTAAGCACAAGGCTGCTACGACGGAGATTGAAGATCTCAAAGTCGAGTTTCAAGCCGAGAAGGAAGACATGCTTGACACAGTTCGCGAATTGACTCGCCAACTCAAGCTTAAGCATTTGTTACTGAGTCATTTTGTACCTTTGGATGATGCGCAAAGCTTTGAAAAACGAGCTCGTTATGATGCCGATCTTGATGCGTGGCAAGTGAGTCGTCTTGAGATATCGGCGTCGTCTTTGCGTCCAAAGCGTCCTATATCTCGTCGTGGCGCGCGTCGAATTGAAAGTGAGTACGCAAGACGCAATCGACTCATTGATCCACAGAATTCTCGTTGGCGTAGCGAGAATGTAGTGCAGCTTAACCTGGAGATGCCGGAGCGGCGTACTCGGGACTTTGAGGCAGCGAACGGAAACGGATATTCAGTGAGTATGGACTTCTGGCTTGATCGCGTAGGAGTTCCGACAGAGAAAGATGCTGAGATTACTTTTGGGAACGATGTCGAAGTGTCTCACGGTGTAGTTAACAGTAGTAAGGAGAAAACTTCAGTGATGTCTAAAGGGGAGATCGAAGAAGTAAGCCGGAGAGTATTGAGTTCTCGTTGTGCGGAGGACAAGAGCAAAAAGAGTGTAGCCAAGAGACCGCCGACAGCAAGGTACGAGATCCGAGATGTCATTGCATGTGCATCAAACTATCTCATAATAATATTGTAATTTTTGCTTCCAACTGCAGCCGGCGCCGTCAAGATCTAGTCGATGAGTAAATATAAGTAGACGAGAAATCAATATCTAAGGCTGAAATGTCAGCAAGTGATTCGATCGAATACCAAGAGACAAGATCTCGAAATTGTGTGTTGCAATCTTCATGATGTTGGTATCTAAACTGCACTAATGTAGCGTATCCTGCTTGAAAGATCAAAAGATAAGTTAACAACACCAAGCACTCTGCAAGCATTTCTTTTGTCACTAAATTAAAATGCTACTCTCAACATCAACTCATTCCACGTGCAGTGCGAACAAATTCATCTGCCGGATCGAAATCGCGATGACACGGCCTGCGGTCACTTGGCCGTCAAAAGTTAGCTGACCTATGAGGCAAAGTGCATCTTCACCGGCTCCAAATATCAGCCGTGACCACATAGTCACTTAACAAGCTCCACCATTTCTTCTAAACTTTGGGACGTTGATTACTATGGCACCCTTCGCCTGTACGGCATCACTGCTTCGGTCTTTTCATAGACTAAACACTCTATCTTTAAGTTTCTATGATGGCGGCATTTTTGACCTTTATGGCGCCAACTTTGCGCGACCACACCTGTCTCCATCGGCAACTCTACATCCTTCATAATTTATGATCCGCCATTTCTGCCACATATAATGCGACAGATTGGCGGAGTTGACTGAAGGATGAGATACCGCTATGGGGAGCATGGATAATAGAGTCACAATTAATGACATCAAATTTGCGTCTTTGTTACTGTCGAGATTCCCGCAGTCGAACAGGATGAGAACAGCAATCGTTGGAGCAAAACATTTGCCGCAAAACACGGATAATTCGCAGCCTTCCATAACATTTACCAGATTCCCACCACATCAGCGACCATGTTTGCCACAGTAGCTTCTACCTGACCTAACAGCAATGCGTCAGTCTCTATCATTGGCTTAATAGGCTCCAGATCGTTTGATACGACACTTGTGGCAGCGTCCTCCGCGACCGGTGCCACCGATGTATCTTTCGCAACTAGCGCTGTATTAGCTATAATTGCTACATCCACCATATCATTGACCACATCCAAAACCTCTGCCACCTCCGCCACCTCCGCAACATTCGATGCAACACTCTTGACGAAATCAGCATTCAATTC